TTAAATACCACCTGAAGTATTTAAATGATATTTAAATGTAATATATGCATCACATAAAGTATGGAAAAATATATTTATAAAAAACCAAGTAGAACAGAATGTTATAAATATATATGAAGATTTGCAATGAACAAAAAGAAGAAAAATCGAAAAATACATTTAAAAAATATCAATATTCACTGTTAAAATAGCTATTAATAAAAGAAAACATAAAAAGGAATTAGCAATCCAAGCTAAAGGTAACAAGAAAAGAAGATAAAAGAGATAGATAAAAGGATTGCTCAGTATGATAGCATTATTTATGATAATTATACAACCAAATTACATTAATTATTTATAATAAACTTAAAAATAAAAAAATTGTTTGTTTAAGTTTTTATTTGTTTGAGTTAAGCTAAAATAAATTGATGAAAAATATTAAATAAATTGAAATTTTAAAAATTGCTATAACAATTTTTGGAGATCCTGTAAATAATAAAAAATAATACATTGTAAATCATTTAATTTACACAAAATATATAAAAATGTTCAAAAATATTTTTGAAAATGGGTTAAACTTAAAATTAAATTAAAAATTGCTGGTATAAATTAAGTAATATAATATATTATAGTTAAACATTATGTGGTTTTATAGTTAAAATGACTCAATTAAATTAGAAATTCTATATGCCATAGATGAGAATGATTATGTATACTTAATATTATAAAAATTTACTAAAGCAACTCAACTTAAGTATAATATCGTAAACAAGTTTAATTTTTTAATAATTTTATTTTCAATTTAATAAATTATTCTTAAGAATTAGCTATTCAAGATTATTTAGAATTTATAAATTTAAAGCAAAATTATACTAAACTATTTTGCTACATCGATTAACTAAATGAATTATACTACAACTATCTACACAACAATTTTAATGAAGAATTTAATTTAAAAATTTTGGCGAAATTTTTTAGGATGGAAAATTAATTAAATAGAAATTAAATACATTCTGTTGTAAAAAATGTATTTTTAAAAAATTCGAACAAGAACGTATAGAAGATTCATTATATGGATGGCCGAATTATTTGATAAGGTAATGGACAGGCCATGCGCACCAGTGCTTTTCGTGCCAGAGTTAATATTCAAAAAATCGTAAATTTATATAAGATGATACGTTTGTTTAGTATTAACAAAAAATAAATTATCTTGAAAATTTTTAAACCAAATGTTAACTTTTCATAAAAAAACAACTTAATTTTATGACTAAAGTGTCTTTAAGTGGTTTTGAAAACGATAATTTTATTATTTAAAAAATATTACAGCAATTTTTACATCAAAGATATATAATATCAATTATAAAATAGTATTGAAATAATAAGCTAAAAACCTTTGCATTTAGTTTGATAATAAATTTAAATTTTAATTATAACAAATTTGAATAATCTTTTGAAAAAAGTTAATAAAATATTATGTCTGAATACCCGACTAGAGTTCATAAAACCTGGAACAACTATTTAAACTGAATATTTGAATGGTACAAAGCATGTTTATAGCGAATAAAAATAGAACTAAAATTTTAAAACTTGAAATTAAAAGAAAATTTTAATATATGTGTAAATGGAAATTACAATAAATTATAAGCAAGGTGTATTGATTTGCATAATGTAATAAACGAAAATAAAACTGCTAATTTTGCAACAATCGTTATCTCTAGTATTTTTTAATACATATAAGTAGAATATATAGTATGTATAACAATTATCAAAAAAACAAAAATAAAAAAATTTCAAATTAATTAAATCTAGTCATATATAACGGGAAAAGTTAGTACAGTAAATTTGAAAAAATGACCAAATTAACCAATACTTGAAAACAATTGAGATTAAGTGCATTTGAAATGGAATTAGTATCGTCGAATGGGATTTCATACCATACAAACCGTAAAAAAGATTTTGGAGACAGTCTTCTGCTGATCCCAACCTACCTTGGGGAACTCAATCATTCTCAGACAATAATTCTGACTAACTCACATCTTCAATATTTTGTTAAGATTTCCAACTATAATACATCACATCAAGAAACTATTATTAACAAAGCTAACATTGCAGTTGTCGGAAAAATTTAAATGGCATTTGGGGAAATATTATTAACTCATCCGTAACAATTAAATACGCAGCAAAAGGAAAAATAATAATTAATAATTATATTGCAATTATCAATATAATAATAAAATAACAATTATATTGCTATTGTGCTTGAAATGAGACGAACATTTGTAGGAAAACATTTGTATTTTCAATAATCAAACCAAAATAGGAGACTTAAATGGGATTTTTTAAAAAGAATTTTCTAGAAAGGAAAATTATTTTCAAGAATATATATTTAATCATAGCAAAACATATTAAATGTTATAATAAAAAGCAACATAATATTAGGATTGAAATAATTACAGAAATATTTGTGAAAAATTAAATTAAAAAAACATAATGTTATTATTTTATTCGCTTTAATTTAAAATTTATAGATAGAAGAACATAATAGTAAAATTGAATAAAAATGTAACAAAATTATTTAAGACATATACATCAGACTGGGCTTATTTCGCATTTCGCGTTTTACATCTTTCGTTTCGAATTTCGCATTTAGCTTTTTGGTCCGAATGCTAAATTTGTTTAGCCTTTTGCATTTAATTTTTTAGAAATTTTTTAAAATTATAATCTCTTTAATATGGAAGATTTCTCACTCTGAGTACCGTTCTGAAAAGTTGTATGTTTTCAAAAAACCACCGAAACATTCGCCAACAACATTTTTATCTACTTTATCGTGTCATCATACCTCTCCATTCCCGAAAGCTGGAATTCCCGTTGTTTTTTAGGGCGGGATTAGGGCGGCTGCTGGGGCTACTTGACCTTCCCAAACCTTCCAAAGCTGGCTACTTGACCTTACAAAATTCTCAAAATTTACTCCTGCGGCGCTGAAAGAACTCAATATTATTCTTTGTGGGCTGAGTTTTTTTTAACTCAGCCCTTTGTGGGCTGAGTTTAGATTAAATAGAATTTATTACAACCAAAATACTTAATTTATCGTCTTTCGACCTACTATAAACTGTATGTCGGTAACTTTCGTGTTTTTTCTTATCATATAGAGTAATATTATTTAAAAATTAAATATTTTTTAATATTAATTATATGTACAAATAATATTTTATGAGCAATTTTCCAATAATAGTTTATTTATGCTCAATATTTCAATAATTATTATTTTTTAATTTCGGTTATTTGTTTTTAAACAATATTTTAAACAACAATTTAAGCAAAAATTTTTGATATGTTAACTCATTTAATTTTTGTCAAATAATTCAGGTTATATATATAGAACTGAAACATATATGAACTTATGTAAAGTTTTAATTAAATATTTAATTCAATATCTAAATATTCTCAAACGAAATCAAACTCGTTTCCAATCATGACACAAGTATCAACAGTCATACTGAGTGAATTTGTTTTTTACTCAATTAAAAATAAATTATAAAAATTAAAAATATTAAATTTTAAATAACATATATTCTTATAATTTATTCTTTACCCTTTATTGAAACTCAAGACGCTCATTTCAATCGTTTTCTTAGGTAAAAAATATTATTTAGGTAAAAATATAACTATTATCCTTAAAAATTAAATTTGATAAACATATAGTTTTTTTATCTCACATTATAAATTTATAAAATAACCAGATTTTTAAATACAATTCTAAAATTAAAGTAAGATCATTATCCAAAGAACTGTTAAAATTATTCAAATTCTTATAATTGCTAATTATTTTTACAATAGCGTATATGCAGAGGGTTATTTGAGATAGAATAATAATTAGGCCAAATACTTAGTATAAATTTTGACCATTATGTATACTCTTGTCTAAATGTAAAATTAATAACCGGTTTAGACACATTTGTAAGGAAATCATGGCAAATAATAACCCAATTAAACTTTCATTCATCAACCAAGCATTTGATCCTGATAGGTTTCATAAAATCATTATTTATAGATAAATTATAAAAATTAAAATTAATTTATTTAATCATATATAATGTTACCTTAGCTATATTATTAAATTTATTCTTATATTAAATTTTATTAGAAAGAATATTTTTAAATAGGAAATTTCTGCTGGTATATTTAACAATTATATTTTTATTGATATTTTTTGAGAACAAACAAATTTATGATTAAAAAATTTTAAACTACATTAAAATTTTTTGTTTTTACTGAATAAGTGTATATATTATATTATTAAAACTAACGTTAACAGCAACACTTTATTCAATAATTTATTAGCAATTACATAAAGTTTTAAATCTAATTATATTCAATTTCACCTTGTAAAAAATACTTATCCTCAGAGAGGATTTTCTTTTTACCTTCCTATTTAATTTATAGGGAAAATATCTCAGATTAATTATTCAACAGAATAATTAATCTAGATAAATAAACAAATAAATTTAACACAAATACAACTAAAAATCTTTATCCTCAATCAAAACAAATATTCACACAGAATATTATAAAAATGAATATCGAAAAAAGATATTGAAAAGTGAAATTTCTGCCTACTTTATATAGGCAAAAATTTCTATGATAAAAATGATGCAATGTAAAGTACATTGCAAAAAAGTACACAAAAAATTGACAAAAAATGGAAAGTGACTCACTGAGTCACCGCCAAAAATAATAAACAAAATTCCATAAAAATAAAAAATATCAAAAATATTTAAAATCTTTAAATCCTCAATTTCGTCATCGACACTCCCCGCCAAGAATCCTCTCATCTCTGCATGTTCTTAGAGTTGCTTTGATGAAGAGAGTTGCACAATGTTGAGAATGATGTACATTTGCGGCACTTGGCAAGTTCATGTGATGTGATTGAAGAGCGCTTGTCTTTATAGAAGATGCTGTTTTTGCAATGACTTGATGAAGAGCTGATGTCATTGCTTTTAATTGGACAATTATTTGCTGTTTGTCTGAGAGTGTGATGAAAATAATAATTTCTATTTTTGTGCCGCATTGAAGTTTTGACAAATAATTCTTTTGCTTGATGAATTGAAGATTGAATTTGATGTAGAGTCTTTTTTGTTGTTGGAGCAGTAGTAGTTGAAATTAGAGATGAGGGGAAGTCCGGTGAGATAGTCCGAATGACCTGAAATTACTTTATCTGGATATCTTTTATCTTTTTAATAAGCGATCTTTCCTTTTTTCCTTTACTATCAGGGATTAACTCCTTTCCAACACTTTTATAATCAAATTCCTTCTCTCTAATTTCTTTCATCTGTATTTTATTCTTTTTAGGCACAGCCACACAGGCTTCTAATATTATATTAATTCTTTCAAAATTAATTAAAACAATTTCATTTTTTGATCTTTCTACACATAAACAATGTGTACCTCCCGCCAAAAGCATAATTACAAACGCTGATGCGGCGAGTTTGTATCCGCGAAAGAATGGATTATATTTTAAGAATAACTTTAACGCAATAATTATCAATACAAACGATAAAATAATCATAAATATCATTTGTATACTAATCAATTCAAAGAGTATGTTTTTCCAATCAAGAAATTGGAAACTTGCAAATGGATTTGTCAACCAATTATTTTCACTATTTTCTATGAATATTTTAGATGATCCTTCTTTTACTATTATTTTCGCCTTTTCTGGCAAAATGAATTCCAATTGTCCTTTTAATGTAAAATTTGTAATTCCTCCCGAGCAATAGACATTACAAATCTCATTTATCTCCGAACGATCAAACGAAAGTGCGATCTTTTGATCAATCCCTTTTTCATTACATTTCGCTGTGAAGATATTGCCTCCGGGGCATTTTATCTCAGCGTAAGCCGATCCATATTCGGTAGAACAATTAAATTTAAAAATAGCTCCCATGCAGCTATAGCAGCCTTTTAAATATTCGGGTTCTATTTTACAATACGTTATGTCTGTATTACTAGAAATTGACCAGTCTTCAAATCTTATCATTAACATGATTGGTAAATAGTTAGATTCACTGATAATCATGTTTTCTTTTCTTCTTAATCTTATACGATTTATTTCCAATGGTAATGATTTGCGCGGATCTTTTATTAATTTTTCAATTATAAAGTCTGAACATGCGCATCGTATTTTCTCAATATCTTGTTCTAACCAACATTCTTTACATGCATTAATTTCCAATTCACATTTTGAAAAATTTCCTGCATTTTCATAACAATCTAGATTAGAATTACTATTTTCTGAAATTGCAATTCCTCTCTCTCCAATAATAAATTCACTGTTTAAAACAGGTGCCATTGGAGGTGTAATATCTAATAAAGTAAATTTTATATCTTGACATCTAAATGTCATTCCTGGATTAAGAGTAAATCTCTTTTTTGTCATACTTCCATTTATTACGAGTCCTATATCTACTTCAATACTATAATCCCATGTAGGTCAGGACACAAGTTTAAAAATCTCATCTGACTTTGGTATGGCATACACTCTATAAAAATAACAGTCTGCTCCAGGCAGCGAACAGCCATATCCCCAAAGTGATTTTCCTTCAATACAAAACGAATTACCAGGATAATCATTCCATTCTGATAATTCTTCAACATAATCTTTTGTTCTAATGTGATTACATCTTCCAGCTTTACATGTTCCTGCAGCTGGGCATCTTTTGATTGATTGAACTTTTACCTCATATGATCTCAAATATCTAAGTATTTTCTGATTGCATTGGATTTGTAATCCACGCATTGATAATTCTAGCTCTCCCATTATTATTCCTTTATTATTTTTTAACGAGAGCGAATTTATTTGCTCATTTGGCAAGAGAGTCACAGTATTCACGGCATTCATTTTACAAGTAGAAATGCCTCCTTTTCTTTGACAATCTTCAGATTTAGCTTGTATAACTACAACTTCAACTTCTCCATTAATTAATTCCAAAAACATAGAAAATATGGCTAATAATGCCATAAAACTTAATTTATTCAATCTTCTATTCCTATTTAATATTTTATTATTTTTAACTTTATTTCTATTGTTCAATAATAATTTTTCAGATATATCTTTTTGTCTATTTTTCTTCTGCGCAAAAAATACTTCCATCGGCATTTTAACAATATTCCAAATTATTTTTAATAATTTTCCGAAAATTAACAAGAGTTTACAGGCAAATATTGCTATAGACAGAATAATAGTCAGAATAAATCCCGCTACAATACCAATCAATAATAAACTTTCAATTGATTCGCACTGAGGATTGACTATTCTTTCACGAAAGCCTGATATTCTTATACATGGATCAACCGCTGGACATGATATCCAGTCTCTGTACAAGTATCTTTTGCCCCAATAAGTAGCTCGGCATTTATAATCCAATGCTGTTTTATCTTTTGGGATTTTAAATACTAATCTTGACATGCCATTTATTTCTAATAAGCAGCTTCCTGCGCAACATAATTCAATTTTATTTATATAATCAACTGCGTTAGCTTCAACGCCAAAGGTTCTACACTTCATAAAACAACCTTTACAATTTATATATCTTGGTGGTTGAGCAAATGCAACTGCAATTAAATATATTAATAACATAAATTGTAGGCACAAAGCCGCTTTCGATCTTGTAACCATCGGATGAGTATTTTTTTTTATTCTTTAATCTTTTAGGCTCTTTTTTATTTAAATCTAATTTATCTTTGTTTTCAATACCATTTTTTAAATTATCTTCAATTATATTCTCATCTTCAATCTCTAAAGGAGAAATTTTATTAATAGGACGTATAAAAGTTTTATCTCCTATTTTTATCTTAGCGCTTCTGGCTGGAGTTCCATCCAACTCCACTATTTTTCCTAATGGCCAGACATTACGAGGTTGTCCTTCTTGATGGACAATAACCACTTCGCCAATTCTTGGGTTTCTTTTTAAATCGTTCCTTTGATTATGATGTGTCCACTTTGCTTTATCTCTTAACATTATGAGATAATCACGCTTCCAGGTATCCCAAAACTTTTGAAGCGTTTTCAAAGTGGCTATCCATCTTTCTTGGACTTGTTCAGTCGTGCTAATTTTTCCTAATCGAAAATTATCGTCTTCAATTTCTGGAAATTTTTGAATAATTTCCACGCTTGGTATTATAAAATCAATTGGTCTCAGGCATGATGGCCCATCTTTTTCTACCGATATGTAAGAAATTGGTCTACAATTTATAGACATTTCTACCTCCTTTATAAATGTTCTTAACTCTTCTATATTTAATATTCGACTTCCCAAAGATCTTTTAAATGAATCTTTAACTAATTTTACTAATCGCTCATAAACGCCACCCTGCCATGGAGACAGAGCAGGTATGAATTTCCATTCAATCTTTTTCTAATAAAAAGTTACTAAATATCTTTTCTTCATTATTTGCTTTTTCTTTCTTCCATTTACCTTCAATATTGGCATTTATTACTTTTGCAACAGTTGTAAACTGATTGCCATTGTCTGATATTATCTTGACTGGTGCGCCTCTTTGCGCTACAAATCTTCTTAAAATAACTAAGAATGAAAGCGCAGATAGATCTGTAATTAGGTCCAAATAGATTCCTCTTGTCGATAAACATGTAAAGAGTGCAATCCAAAACTTGACTTTTCCTCCTTCTATTTTGCACATAGAAGGTCCGAGATAATCCACTCCAACAAATTCAAATGGACGTGATTGTTTTACCCTTTCTTTAGGCAATATAGGCATATCTGGCAGTGCAAATTTAGGCGAACTGATTCTTTGGCACTTTTTGCACTCTTTTATAACAATTTTAGTTATGCGCCTTGCACATGGCGTCCAAAATTTCATTAAAAAGTTTGCAACTGTTGAGTCAACTCCCGAGTGACTCAATTCTTCATGTATTTTTCTCAATAAAAGTTTAATGGCAAAACACCCTTTAGGCAGTAAAATCGGATGTTTAAAATAATCTTCCGCTTCACAATTACTAATCCTTGTTTTTAATCTTATTAATCCATTTTCATCAATTATTGTCTGTAAATTATCGTTCTTTTCGTTTTTATAAGAACTCTGCGCAAGTTTTAGAATAAAAATTTCAACCTTTTTGAAATTACTTGCCGACATACGATTTTCCAAATTTATTTCACTAAGAAATTTTCCTTTTACAATTTTTCTGCTTTTTTCTATCCAAATACGAGCAGCTATAGTTACAAACATAATACATTTAATTAATTTATTCCATGAATTCCAATTATCAAAGTTTATTAGATTTTCTTCCTCATCTATATTTTTATTTAAACAATTTAATACTAATTCTTGATTATCTTCACAAGTATTTTCTTTTTCAATTTCAAAATTCAATTCATTTGGCCAATTTATTTCAGGCCTCTTTAACCACTCAGGACTTTCCCACCAAATACGGCATTTTTCTAATTCAGATGCCATTATACCGCGAGTGGCCGCTCTCTTGGCCTTTCCTCTCAAACACTGTATTAGATAATGTGCTTTAAGGCCTGGATCAATTTCTAAACTGTCAACAGTCCTACTAAATGATTGCCAAAATTCTGGCCAAACAAGAGGATCTCCATAGAACTCAGCTAATCTAGTTCTAGGCAAATGTGTAGGAATATTATACTCATTCCTACGAACAAAATTCTCATTTAACGGCGTCTGCCCTTCATTTACAAAAACTTGTGGCCTTCTTGATTGATTCAGTCTATTTTGGCCAACTCCCAACTCTACTGACAAATCGGATTGAGTGCTGCCGTCATCAGACTCAGCCAAAACAATCTCAATATCTGCAATTATTTCATGTGCGTTTTCTATCCATTCCGCATAATGATGCTCCAATGGAGCAAAGTTAGCTAAAACCTGTTCTTCCGCCTGTCTTTCATTAACCGGAAGTCCTCGAATATAATCTTGCCACTGATTGGCTTTTTCTTCAAGACGATTTACTATACGTCGAACTTTTACTAATCTTGTCCTTAACATCTCCATCCCTTCGGCTGTGCGCTCTTGGGCGTCTAAAACGGGGCGAATCTCTTCGAAATGTTCGCGCAAACGAGTAATGGCTGGCGTCATAGCTTGACGAATCGTTCCAGACATTTTAATTACCAATTCTTTTATTATAATATTTTTAAATTAATCTCTTATTCTCACAAATTTACCGAGCTTTCTAAATCTTAGCTATTCCAATAAATCAAATTGAGCCTATAGCTCTCAAAATTTTTCTTTTATTTTTAAATCTCACTCTCCCCTCTTCGTAAGGGTCTGTGGCACCAAATGTAAAAAATACTTATCCTCAGAGAGGATTTTCTTTTTACCTTCCTATTTAATTTATAGGGAAAATATCTCAGATTAATTATTCAACAGAATAATTAATCTAGATAAATAAACAAATAAATTTAACACAAATACAACTAAAAATCTTTATCC